CTACACAAATGATACACAGATTCAACACAATCCCAATCAAACTATCAACAGCATTCATCACAGATATAGAGAAAACAATCTGCATATTGATATGGAACCAGAAGAAAGTCAGAATACCAAACAACCAATCCTTGGAGCAAGAACAAAGCAGAAGACATCACCCTAAGGGACAAGTTATACTGCAAACATGAGTGATAAAGAAGGTATAGCACTGACACAAAATAGAACTGTGGATCAATGGAAAAAATATAGTAATGACTTTAGACATATTCAGCTACTTGATCTTGGACAAAGGGTCCAAAACCATATTTTAGTGGAAATATAATCTCTATACAACATTATGTTGAAAAAGTGGCTATCTATATGCAGGAGATTTAAGTTGATCCATTTCTCTCACCATGCACTAAACTAAAATCAAAACGCATCAAATACTTAAACATTAGAACAGAAACAATTACCCTAGTGAATGATAAATTAAATAAATCATTTGAAGTCAGAAGTGTAGGCTAGATGTTATGAACAGAATTCCCATTGCACAAGAAATAACACGAAGTATCCACAAAGGGCATTACATCAAATCAAAAACATTTGAACAACAAAGGCATTGATCAGTAGAGGAAAGTCACAACCTATAAAATGGAAAAAAAAAATTTGCCTGCTATTCTTCAGATAGATGACCAATATTAGAATATTAAAAAAACTACAAAAATTTGACCACCCCAAATAAATGACCCAAGCAGAAAATGGACAAATGAAGTGAGTACACACTTCTCTGAAGAAGTAAAAATAGCCAAAAAAATATGAAAAATGTTCAAATGTACTGAGCATGAGAGAAATGTAAATTAAAATAATGCTAAGGTTTCATCTCATGCAACAAAGAATTTCAATCATCAAGAAATCAAATAATAACAAATACAGAAGAAATGGCATTTAGAAAACTCCAGTTTTGATGACGGGAATGTAAACTAGTCCAACAACTGTGGAAATCTGTGCTGAGATTTCTCAACTAGCACAATTTATAAATTGCATTTGACTTAGCTATTCCCCTTTTAGGTATATTTCGAAGAGAGCTAAAGACATCATATTAAAATGATATACACATAACAAGCTTACTAATGGACATTGCAATAATAATAAAGAAACATAATGTCCATCAACTGACAAATAGACAAAGAAAATGTTGTATCTATACATAATGGAATACTACTTGGCTCTAAAAAAGGATAAATTGGAGACATTTGTAGGAAAATGGATACATCTGGAAAATAATGCTAAGTAAAATAAATCAGAATCACAAGCTTCAATAATGTGTTGTATCTCTCCTTTGAGTAAGAAAAATATAAATTCAGAGCAAAGAAAGGGACTGATAGATGGATACAGGTAGACAGATCATTTGCAAATGGGATGGTACAGGAGACCAAGGGTAAGGGTAGGGGATGGGGAATTTTGTGGTTGAGGGTAGTGATATGTAATGTAACAATCAAAGTTGACTGGTATTATTTTGTCTTGAGATTCTGTATCACTTTGAATGTTCTTGCTTTGATTTGTTTATGTTAGCGATAATGGTATGCTGCTACTGTTCGATTTCTTTGTTTCTCATTTACTAGTCTCTTTAAAGTAAAAATAAATAAATAAAATATTAAAATGTATCATGTACATGTATTCTATACACGAAAGCAATATAAGCATTATACATCATAAAGCAAACTAAAAATAACTATAATAACAACAATAATAAAGAAGAGGAAGGGAGATTTATACTCAAGGAGAGGAAGGTGAGTAGGGAAGGGAAAGGAAATAAAATGAATCCAGTTGTATCATCTGCATGCACCTACTCTCTAAGGTCAGTGTAAGCTTCATGTACTGGAAATGTGTACTAATAAAAAATTGCACATACCCAAAGAGCTATACATATTTCTTACCTTATGATGCAATTTTATGGTATAGTAACCACTTGGTGACTGTTTTAATGTAATTAATTCAAATTTATTAATATTAATTTCAAATTCATGAAAATTAAGTAAATGAAATAAGCAGTTGCTTGTTTATGCTAACAAAATAGCAAGGGGTCAATAAATAGTTAGTTACACCTGGCTAGTAGCTACTCTATTGCGTAGTCTAGATACAGGGCATTCCTGTTTGACAGCATTGTTTGGAGACATAGGTAAAAGAAACTTTTGGGTCTGAAGCATTAGCATCTTTGATACAAAAATAAAATTTTCTAAATTTCTAGTCTCATTTTGAGAAGCATTTTAAAATATTAACACATTGTTACTTTTATGTCTTATACTGAAAGATCCTTAGCCCTTTTGTGCTGCCCTATCAAAACTCTAGAGACTGGAAAATTCATGTATAATAAAAATAATTTCTTACTGTTTTCAATGCTGAAAAATGCAAGATCACTATGCAGGCATGGGGAAAGCTTGCTTGCACTTGCTACAGCCTCACAAGGAAATGTTGTGAGTAAGGGGAATGACTAAAGAGAGTTTTGTGTCCTCATATAAACTTAAAGAGGGAAAAAGCTTTATGTGGGAAATGCACTTAAGCTGTAAAATACATGTAAGTGTTTGAGGTTTCTGGGGAAGAACAGAAGGAGTGAACCCACTCTTCAAGTACTTTTGTAATTGTCTTTATTTTGTCTATGAGAGATGTATTCACATGATTTAACTTTCAAACACCCCAATACCTAGTAGTACTGCAATGGTCATTAGCCCTCAGCACATCAACAAGCAGGAACATTCAGATCACAACATCTCCCTGCTCCTTAAAAACAGTAGATTACCACATTGCCTTAAGGGTAATGTTAGTAATAATCTACTTATTAGGTTAGACATTTCTGAATTAATAAGTTCTATAAGGAAAACTGGGATTTTTAAATATACACATGAACTTTCCTAAATTTGTTTTTAACTTTTGAAGCAGATAGATCCAAGTAAGTAAAACATATTGCTACAATTCTGTATTATATTTCTGTACATGTGGCAACATTTATCTTGCACTATTAAAGACGTTTTAACATTTAAATAGTGTAAATATTGTTACAGATGTATTTCCTGGTCGTTACTGATGTAGATAAAAGGCGATTATTGAAAGTTCAGTGTCATATTGAATGTATTTTCTTTTTTTTCTTTTTTCTTTTTTCTTTTTTCTTTCTTTCTTTCTTTCTTTTGTTTTTTTTCTGGTACTGGGAATCAAACTCACGACCTTGTGCTTGCCAGGCCGGCACTGTGCCGCTGATCTAAACGCCCAACCCCTCTATTTTCATTTTAAAGATTAAAAATCTAATGAAACAAAGCAGCATTATTCTGATATATTTATGTAGCAAATAGCCTTTGAAGAAATGGGTCCCTCCAGGGAAGAGGGTACATGTGCTTGTTTCATGACCAGATTAATAACAATACCTCCTTCTGGGACAAAGTTTGAGCATGCTTATTAGCAGTCCCTAAAAACTGAGGTTGCTAAGCTATGACACAAACCCACTGTGGGTGTATCACCTGCTTGGTGTGCTCCACACCTCTTCCTCAGGATGTAGCAGGCAAAGGCAAGTGACATGAATGAGGCCTATGATGCTTGTTGTTTCATGACTAATCAAGCCCATTGCCTCTAACTCAGAAGTCCATGTTACTTTTCCACCTTCCACTAAAAATGTGACAGGATAATCAATGGGGTTGCAAGCTAGACCTTAAAATATACGTGAGTAAATAAGACAAATTTGAATCTTGAGAAGCCATCTACAGCCCAACAGGCAGTGTGGGTAATCATGCTTATATTACTATTGTTTCTTTAAAGGTTGCAGTGCAACTGAGGGATGAGTCCACAGTAGAACATGAAATTTTCACCTTGTAAACTATAGAGAAAAATCCACATACAGCATTACATGGTCTAATTTCTTATCATGTCTTAAGAAGTACCATCCCTTCTCTTGTCCGACTAGAGTGGAAAACATCCTTTTTAAGCACAAATATATTTGATTCTGATTCACTTGAACACTAGCTTTCCAGTCCTCTTGACCAAATATTTACACAATTTTTAAATTAACTTTGCCTAGAAGGACTGTTTCTAGCAATGGCAAGGAGATTGGCCCCTGTAAAACACATTGCATCAATCTTCAAAAAGTGGCTGTCTTTAGAATCAACGTGGATGGTACTTCTATTAAGCACCATGAATTGATGAAACTTTCCTGGGATGAAGTTTACAGATCTCATTTTCACAGTACAATTAAAGCTAAAATGGTGAACCTTTTACACATTGATGGAGTGGTCTTCTCTGGGGACTCCTACTCTCTTCAAGTATACAAATAAACTTTAAACTTTTCTATATTCCCTGGCTATCAGTAAATTCCTTTTCCAGGCATGGGACTGGTCTTTCACATGTCACAGCTAGCATGGATCGTGGGAGAGAGAACACAGAAAGCAGAAGAGATGCAAGAGGTGGCAGGTGTAGAAAACTGGAAATTAAATATTTTACTTGTAAAAACTCTTGATGGATTTCATGTTTTGGTGAATCAGGGACTTCAAAATAGAGGATATGTGTGAACACGACTCTTGGTTCAAACCAACACATCTAAAAATGCAGGTGCTGCAAAGTAAACTAGGTCCTTAACTAGCATTGTAATCTTCACTCAGGTTTTCCTACTTATTGGCAGCTCCAGAAGACTGTTCATTAAAAATATTCCCACGAATGAGTGAAATTTTTCTTTAGTCCAAAGCCACCACCTGCTTTTGTCCTTGCTTTGTTTTCAAATCCTAAATCAATAAAGAAATCCTTCACTTCAAACTAAATTAAAACAATGTTGCTTTCATTCCCTCCTAATCCCAGGGATCTCCAACCCAATTTGCCCTCCCCCCTCTCACCAGCCATCCAAACTCCCCTCACTCACTCATCCAGTCCCCCATCTATACCCTAGTAGGAAACATGTGCAATATGTACCCACAACGTTGGGGAAGATGTATCTTAAAATAAAGTAATGAAGAGACAACTAATTAACTGAACTGCCAATTTTGCCTTTATTATTTTGGCAAACGAATTCAATTAAGAATTCTTACATGGCATACTTCGCAGTCCATTCTCTAGCTCTTCTCTCATACTCTTTTCTATCCTTTAGGTAGAGATTGGCAATCTCGGGCACCAAAGGATCGTCCGGGTTGGGATCGCACAACATGGAGCAGATAGACAAAAGCAGTTTGGAAACTGTGAGCGCTGGTGACCACTGGCTCTTGAGGATATCTAGACAGATTTTTCCATTTCTATTAATATTTGGATGATAAATTTGGGTCGTGAATACTACCTTAGGTGGTTTGATCGGGTAATCAGAAGTAAATTGGATGGTTAAGTAAAACACCCCGCCCTGGTATGGGCTATCATTGGGACCCATGATGGTCGCTTGCCACAGAAACAAGTCTTCTCCTACAGGTCCCGCAGAGCAGTGGGCTGGGGGGTCATGAGCAAGATCGATGAGCTCCTTCTGAATCCGCTTTAGAGCCATTGTCCTCCACTATTGGTGCCGAAAATTTGTCACAGTGCCACGCAGCTGGCACAGGGCACCGTTAATGTTGGATGCCAAGGAGCAGCAGCGCGATTCCAAATCGACCGGTGCTTGGGGTGAGGACTCCTTCTCTGGTTGTAGGGAATACCAGGAATGTCCGCTGAGAGGAGAGGGCGGTAGAAGGCAGTGTCAGATGATAGACTTCACCTGGGGTGCTGGTGGACACCTGTTGCTCTAGGCCTCTGCAACCAATGAAATTTAGGGATTTTGAGACTCCATTGTGGCCCAGGAGGCGACCTGTTTAGAGTTCTCCGCTGGGAGCGCCCAGACCTCCTGCCTGGTGCAGCCCGCCGCTGTCTCTGGTCCTTCAAGCCAGGCACTCACACGGTTGAGCATTTGGTAGGTGATGTAACAGAGACCGCAGATTTCCTCATGAGTAGGCGGGGACTGACGCAGGCGGGTTGGGGGCAGGGCAAAAAGAGGGCCGGCATGGAAGGTGGGGCTGGCTGCCAAATATCTCATATAGCGCTTGCTCTCTGCACTGGCAAGTAGGGCCTCCAACTTACAAAACCAAATAAAACGAGTGTCATGAATTATTCTCTACATCTCACTCGAAGTCACCTTCTCTTTTCATTATCCTCCACTTTGCCTTCTCTCTAGATATATCTTTGAAAGTGAGACACACACATTATGAACCTTACTTAATTGCATATATATTTCTCAAGACACGTAACCTCTGTATAGATAATTTTAGCAAATTTTATATTCACAAAATATTTTAAAACTATCTTTATATTGTTATGGCAAATTTGTTTTCTGAAGATAAAAAGACTTCAGAAATTATGTTTGGAATTAAATCCAATTTGACTTTTGAAGAGCTCAGGGCAGAACAGGGATGGAGGGCAGATGGAAGATCATCTATTGGTTTATCATATATAAATAGATAGATAGATAGATTTACATTGATATAGTTGTTATATCTAATTTAGTAATATATCTGAATTCATTTTTTCAATTGATAATCATGCTTTTAGTGTTTTAATACCTCTTATAAAAGATTCTGGCTAGGATCAGGTATATTGTTCTTCATTGCTATGTCTGTACATACTCCTTGAGTCTTGAACGTTCCTACAGTTTTCTGTATCTGTTTTATGTCACTGATACTTTTGAAAAGTGCAGCATATGCCCAACACTTCCTGCACATTTGTGTGTCTTAAAAACTTTCATAATAACTATGGTTAATTTGACTGTGAGAAAGACAAAACTGGAAAAGACTGCTCAGCTGAATATTATGAATGTTGTGAAGTTAAAAGTACATTATGATGTGTTACATTAGTATGTATGAACTATTAATTTTTGGAAGAATAAACTAACCTTCTTCCTTTCACAGAGAATGTGTATTTCCCAGTTTTCTATGAACAAGTTGAGAAGCTGATAAGTCTTATATTACATTCCAAAAGCTGAAGAATTGGAAAGGTCATGTTGTATGAATTGATTCTGACTTCGGATTAAGTTCTATGTTTGACAACAATATAAATACACTTTGAACACTCTTATTCCATTGCTCTGTTCACTTTCTGAAGCAGTTCTGCAAGTCCTCATGTATGACTGCCTAACTGTGCTCTTCTTCCTGCATCCACTCAGAATATTCACCTCTTTTGTTCATTTTGACTTTGAGGAAGAGCCAAAATCACAAGGTGCCACATCCTGTGGATGAAGACACATCATAATGTATTGATGCACCTGCTTTTCTGTCGGATGGCATTCTCAGCAGTGGCATTCATTGCACTTTTTTACATAGCTCATAGGGATGAAAAATAAATATGTATTTTTTGTGTATTCTCAAAATTTAATTAAAATGTTATTTCACTAATATTACACATGTGAGGTAATATATAATTCTCTTTCTTTCTCATCCTACTTTTTCCTTGTCTCAGTACTTGTCCTCCTCTTCCTTTTCCTCCTTCTTCTCTTCGTCCACATCCTCTTTTCCTTCTTCCTCCTCCTTCCCCATCTTTGCCCCTCATCCCTCTCCTACAACACTCTCTACCCCCCTTTCCCTTCTGCACCTCCTCCTCTCCATCCTCCACTGGTACATAGTCCTCTTGCTCCTCCTTCTCCTCGTCCTTATGTATGTGTTTCCTAGGAGAGCTAAAACAAAGGAACACAAAGAGGGTGGCTATAATGAACAGAATTTTATCTCTAACAGTGGATTACTTTTAAAATCATGTCATTGACAGGATCACCTTACTTCTAAAGAGTATAGAAAAATCTATGCATGCCTCTTCCTAGCTATTATTTGTTCTCAGCAAACCTTACTTCTTGGCTAGTGTCTGCATCATGGCATTCCCTGTTTTGTCCTTTTATGAGGTAGGTTTCTACTATGCACTTCCGGCTGGCCATGAGCTCACTTTCTAGCCAGGCTGGCCTCACCACTGCTGTTCAACATAGTTATGGAAGCATTAGCCAAAAAAATTAGACAAGACAGAGAAATAAAAGGAATAAAGATAGGAAAGGAAGAAGAGAAATTTTCATTATTTGCAGATGACGAGATGCTCTACATGGAAGACCTAAAAAATTCCACAAAAAGACTGGGAGAATTAATAAACAATTTTAATAGTGTAGCTGGATACAACACTCTAAAATCAGTACCATTCCTATTTAAAAACAACAAACACACTGAAAGAGAAATTAAGGAAACCATACCTTTCACCATAGCATCCAAAAAATTGAAATATTTAGGAATCAATCTAAGAAAAGAAGTAAAAGATCTATACAATGAAAACTACAGTACTCTTAATAAAGAGATCAAAAAGGATTTTAGAATTTGGAAAGATATTCCTTGCTCATGGATAGGAAGAAACAACATTGTGAAAATGGCCATACTCCAAAAGTTTTTGTATAGATTCAATGCAATAGCAATTAAAATACCATTAGTATACTTCACAGATCTAGAGAAAACGTTCTGAAAATTCATCTGGAACAAGAAGAGACTTAGAATAGCAAAAGCAATCTTGAGTAACAAAGGCAAGGCTGGTGAAATCATAATCTCTGACTTGAAATTATACTACAAAGCTACTGTTGTAAAATCTGCATGATACTGGCAAAAAAAACCAGACTTCAGAATCAATGGAACAGGCTGGAAGATGCAGCCACAAGCTCAAACACATTCAGTCACCTTATCTTTGACAAAGGGACCAAACAAGTTCACTGGAAGAGAGATAGACTCTTCAATAAGTGGTGTTGGAAAAACTGGCTGGCCACATGCCAAAGACTGAAACTAGACACATGTCTATTACCATGCACCAAATTAAAGTCAAAATGGCTTAAAGATCTAAATATTGAAAGAGAAACAGTAAATCTACTGGAAGAAAAATTGGTAGAAATCTTGAAGACAGAGAGGTAGGCAGAGAGTTCATGAAGAAAACCAAACTGCATGGGTGATTCTTCAAATAATCAACAACTGGAGCCTTATGTCATTGAAAACTTTTTGCACATCTGAGAAATCACCAGCAGAGTAAAAAGAGAACTCACAAACTCAGAAAAAAATTTTAGCCAACTGTCCCTCAGACACAAGACTTCTATTTAGCTCATATAAAGAATTTCAAAATATCAGGCCTTGCAAATTCAAAGACCCAATACAAAAATGTATCTCTGAGATGAATACACACTTCTCAGATAAAGAAATACAAATGGCAAATAAATACATGAAAAAATTTCCAACATCATTAGTAATTTGAGAAATGCAAATTAAAACAACACTGAGATTCCACTGTACTCTAGAAAGAATGGCTATCATCAAGACATCAACCAATAAAAAATGCTGGAGGGGCTGTGGGGAAAAGGAACCCTCTTCTGCTGTGGGTGGGAGTGTAGACTGGTGAAACCACTGTGGAAATCAGTCTGCAGATTCCTCAGTATAATAGGATTAGAGGTCCCATTCAATCCAACTATTCCTTTTCTGAGTATTTTTCCAGAACTAAAAACATCGCCACAACTTTGTACATATACCTATGTTTATAGTAGCATAATTTTTAATAGCTAAACAATGAAACAACCCAAATGCCCATCAACTGAGGAATGGATAAAAAAGATGTGGTATTTTTATACAATGGAATATTACTCAGCCCTAAAAAAGTTAAACTCAATGCTTTTATAAGTAAATGCATGCAACTAGAGACTATACTAATAAGTGAAAAAAATCAGACCCACATGTATACACATCATATTGTCTCCCTGCTATAAGAACCTGAAGGAGTAAGTAAAACTCAAAACGTATAATAGATGGTATGAAAGGGAAAGAAATTGCTCAAAGGAAGGAACAACTGGGATGAGGGGAAGAAGAAAAAAGAAAGAAGGATGACAAAATATATATCAATATATCCATATATCTATATTTCTATATATCTATGTATCTATACCTCTATATATCTATATTTCTATATATCTATGTATCTATAGATGTATATACATTTATATAGAAGAATAGTTGAGATAACTGTACCTCTGATGTCCCACTGTATATTGAAAGCACAGTAACGGTTAAAATTTAATTTTGATTAATTTTGCATGCTTGTTTCTGGTAATCTGAGCAACTGATTTGAAGACAACAGCATGCAATGGAATAACCATTGGTGAATTCCTACCATCTTGTCCAGTGAAACTGTATTATCTCTAATGTTTTAGCTAATGATTTTTTAATTTCTTTAATGGTTTGAACAATTTTCCATTTTTACACCTGGTAATCTGAGCAATGTAGTTGAAGATAGCAATATATAATTTAACAACCACTGTTAATTCCTATCATTTTGCTTTGAAACCCTGTATCACTTTTAATGTGCTTGGTTTTGTTTATGCTTGTGATGTTGGTATGCTGCTATTGTTCTTTTTTTTCTTTGACCACTCTCTTTAAAATAAAAAAAGAAAGAAAGATAAACTTGAGGCTTTATAGGTAAATGGTTTCCTGTAGAGACTATACCCATAAGTGAAATAAATAAGGCTCACATGCATAAAAATCGTATCATCTCCCTAGTATAAGAACCTGAAAGTGTAAATAAAATCTAAAAGGTACAATAGATAGTGAGAAGGGGAAAGAAACTGCTCAGAAGGAAAGAACTATTGGGTTGAGGGTCAGGAAAAATGAAGATGAAAGGGGAAATATTAGGTAGGTGTATATTAAGGTAATGTTTTTATATATATATACTCACACTCACAAGGTGGCTGGGATAATTGTACTACTAAGTTCTATTGCTTTCTTGAAAGGATCAGTTGGTGTTTAATTGTTTCATTATTCTTGTATATCTGTGTTTATTTGAGTAATCAATATGAAGGTAACAGTATGTAATGAAACAACCATCGTTAATTACTTTTCACCCTGTCTGAAATACTGTATTGTTTATATTGTTTTTATGTTGCATCATTTATGTCTGTGTGTTTCTTAATATGTTTTGATTCTTTTATCTCGAAAAATATATGTAGAAAAGGGGTTTGTTAAGATTTTTTAAACATTTATTCTGTTTTAATTACCATGTGTTTGCAATTCAT